AGCGCAAAAATATGTATCACTTAGGTAATAACTTTAAATTTGTTCCAGTCGATTGTATCGATTAAACAAATTACTAGTGTGTTACTATTTTATCCTAAATAGAACGTTTACGTAAAAAAAACAAGTCTATACACTGCAATATTGGATAGTATCGGAGTGAAACTATAGATAATAATTATTATTAATGATTATTTTATTATTTATCATTAATTATTATTATTAATAATTATTTTATTATTTATCATTAATTATTATTAATAATAATTGTTATTAATTATTGTTATTAATTATTTTGTTATTTATTAATAATTATTGTTATTAATTATTTTGTTATTTATTATTAATTATTGTTATTAATTATTTTGTTATTTATTATTAATTATTGTTATTAATTATTTTGTTATTTATTGTTAATTATTTTATGTAGCTTTTCCGACGTCACAAGGTCGGTTAATTATTAGCTCAACGATGCATATATTGCAAGATATCAATCCTTATTCAACTATGCGAGTCCGTAAACTATCAGCAGAACTTCCAGATAGCAGGTACAACTTAAAGTTTAACAGTAACGTTACTTCATCAAACAACGGTCTGATATCATTGTTATTGCATGCAAGAAAACTTCTAATTGAAAATACCATTAAAAAAACTATGGAAATTTATGTGGTTTTTTATTCTTTATACAGTGATTCGGTATCGTAGTAACCTTGTATCGGGCTAGTTTTCTTTAGGATTTAGATAGTTTTGAGTCTGCATAGTTTGTTTTTACCTATATGTATGTAATGTATATATATTTTGTCCTTAACATAACCAAGTATCTGTTCAAAATTCAATTGAAATATACTTATTAGAAAAAAAGTTACATGTTAGGATATTTCAGCTTGTTTGTTCACTTAGAATAACTCAGAGTGATTGGACGGTTTATTGAATTTCGAGATTGATTTTTTCTACTGCTCTCTAATAGCATGTTGATAACCTTTAATGCAAGCTTTTGCTCACCTAAATGCAGTGCATATGTGTGGTGTGTTTTAAGACTTAATAAACTATACCCGGCACAGTATTTTTTCTTTGTTTGTTTTGTGTGTGCCATAAAAGGTATACTCATAGATAGATATCCGGCGTTTAACATGCTCATTCTTTCATTCGTGTGGGCGTTATAAAGTGATAGTCAATCTCACTGTTCGTTAGTAAAAGAGTAGCCTACGAGTTGTCGATGGGTGCTTTCGGGTGGTTGTCGATCCTGCAGTTGTCAATTTAAAATCAGGGATGCATAAAATAGCCTTAGTAGCTTTGCCATAAACAAACAAACATGGATAGATGTGTGTTTGTTGCATGTCTGTGAAAATGAAATAATAAAATTAAATTTCTAAAGTATGTGTATGAAAATGTTAATATCAGGATTATTCTTCTGGTTGAAGGAGAAGGAATACAAACCATGTTACGGGAAAACTTTATTGGATTTAAAATTATTAAAAGAGTATATCAACTGGAAATGTTTTATTTCATTTCTTAAGAAGTGTTCTTGTTTTGTTTTTTATTGTCTGTATACCTACCAGCAGATGTTTACTGCTTGTTTTATTGGTCTCCTCCTCTATCCCTCACATGTTAGAAACAAGAACGAAACGTTGGATCCGACAGCTCAGTTGTGCAAGTGTATTGAATGTACAGACTATTATTAAACTTATTTAGTTTGCAACTGAAGACTAATATGATCAAATCGAATGCTTATGTAAATAGGGGATGAGTACAGCCCAGTTATTAGCGTGTCGGACCGTGGATGTAAGATATAATGGTTCGTGTTACGTTACCGCAGTAAAAGAATCGCGCTCCGCACTTTCAGGCCGTGGTTGCGTTATCAGAATGACGATCAAATCCCACTATTCGGTCTGACAAGAGCTGCTCAAGAGTTGGCGAGGGATAATGTTGACTGGCTTCCATCCCTATAGTCTATCACTTTTACATCCGGGACGTTAGGGCAGAAAACCTTAAGTAGCTTTGCGTGAAATTTACCAAACAAACAATGTGTAAGTAAAAATGCACAACTCTTAACGACGTTGCTGCTTGCATGTAGAGCACTTCTGTTTTCTAGTTCTCACCTCTGTCTGTACATACCGATCTCTTTTTGCAGAGGGTAAATCTGAATTAAGACCAGGCAGAAGTGACTACCACAGTATTAACGCAACCCGATGAATGTTATCAAAGGTAGGCCTAACGTGCCTTTAATTTCCATCATCGGTTGTAACGACCGTTCTTCAAATAACGAACATGATAAATAATTTATATAAATAAATTCCAGATGTTCTGTTACTGTGAGGTTCGCCATCTTTTATTTGACTGTGTCTAGAGATTCTTGTAGAGGAAGATGTCAATAACAGAGGCAGTGTTGACTAAGCTCCGGCTGTAAGATGTAGAGACACAAAACACTTGGTTGTAACTCTTCTTCTAGATAACCTTCACCATTTTTCTTACTCCTGCCCGTTTATGGTCGAACTTTTGTCGAAAGAGACCGTAAAAATATACCCTTAGTTTTATGATTGAATGTTTTTATCTACGTAGCCAAATGAATGTAGTTACACGAGATAGTCTCTGTTTGTTTTCTCTTTGTGTTTTGCTTTACTGAGTAAAATCTGACCTGTATACTAAATTGCTAAATGCATTATCTTAACCATAGACGTATATATTAGGTCGTCAAGAAATTAATGTCGCTATTTGTTAGATGAAAAAACTCGAATAACTTATATTCCAAAACAAAACATTTATTAAATTAAATAGTACTCC